ACTAGAATATCTTAGGAGGCAACAAGGTTGTGGGCCCCACAACCTTGAAGCATAATGGCGTGACTTTATCAAAATGGTGCAAAAGTACAGCAGTTACACTCTGCCATTCAGCAAATGCACTAAACACCAAACACAGCCTGCATTGATTCTTGCTCCAGCCATCTTTGGATGGGAGCTGAGAGCAACCTGCTGGAGAAGGGCACCCTTCAGAGTTATCTGAAACTTGACTTCAAAATATCTCCTTGAAGGTCAATAGAATTTCAGGGCTGTCAGTCGTATACCTGAAGGTGTCTAAGCTGTATTCTGCAGTGCAGCTACAAGTCTAAATTAATGGCTTTATGTTCAACAGTTGGTTAAAAACCATGCCATTCCTATTTAAAATCAACCACTTAGCAACCTAGCCACACACTTTTTACATTCTTTAACCAGATAATCTAATTATTCTGGCTCAGAATTCCACTGAACAGAGTTCAGAGTCATTTTACAGACGTTGTTCTTTATTTTAATATTGTCTAATTTAAAAGGGAAAAAAAATATCAGATAATAACTTTTTTTTTTTTTTTTTTAGGGAAAAAAAAGCATGAAAACCATTTCTGTTCCAAAAATTGCTGATATGAGAACTTATGGGAAACAGCTTCTTTTATGAATAATTATTATTATTGTGTTTAAGAAATGGGCAAGATGCCTAGAAATTGAATGAAAGAATGAGCTATTAAATTGAAATATTAAATGAAATAACTGAATTAAAAGTGATCACATAAACCCTGCAGTAAATGTTGGGAGCTGTAGCTGATTGAACATATTTCCATCATCTGTTTTGTATGCTTAAATACAATTGCCTGATGTAAGTAAACACTTGATTGATATTCTGAATACTTTAAAATCTGCATATGCATCACAGAATACTGAACAATTAAAACTTAATTTCAGCGTAGTTTGATTGCATGTAAATTATTTCAATATTCTTTTTTTTTTTCTGTTCTGTTTGCTCTGTGCATATTTAATATTCACTTTTTGAATGCATATCACCCTTGATTGGACTGCGAGATGAGGAGGACTCTGAAATTTCTTCCACTAAAAAGGATTGCCATATAAATGTTATTTGTGCCACAGCTCTTCCCCTGCAGATTATTTTCTAAATGTTGTGTACCCTTATTGAAGACAAGGAAGAAAAAGGCTGCAACCTTCCTTTATCAGCCCAGCACATGGAATATGCTTACATGGTCGATGGGCATGTCTAAGAAGGCTTGTTGGTTGTAACTAGTCCCTAAAGAAATGTTTCCATCTTTCCTGCACTACATTTCTCTCTTGCTTGCATGAGCTCTCTCTCTTCCCTTCATCTTCCTTTTTTTTTTTTCTCATTCCCAGACTTCTTCTTATGTGTTTTAGTATTATAGATAAATATTTTTAAGTTGACCATTTTCAGCCTGGAAAACCTATCTCTGTCTTTAAGTGCCCAATCTGAATTTCTATTGCTGTGATATGCAAATGACAAAATTCTCTTTTTGAGATGTTTGCAAAACTTATTATTTAAATGCTTTATTTAAAAAGAAAACATATAATTGTGGCTTTGCTGGCATCTTTTCAGCTTTGTCACGTTCTCAGAAGGCACACAGACAGAATGCACATAGCCACGCTGCCACGGGAGATCTGGGTTCTTCTCTGTCCTCACCATTCTTGCCCCTGTTATGCTTTCATACCCCTGCTTCTTTGCCCCTAAAATAGATGCACTAACAGCTAACCTTTTGGAGGTTTGTAAGATAGGGAGAAAGATCATGTAAGAGTGTGTAATAACAATATTACATGACTAGAGGGGAATTTAGATTTCATATTGTATGTGCTAAGCAGCTCGCAGAGAGATGTCTTCCTATCTGACCCGTATATTTAATCTCAGTTTGTGGGTTTTAATCTTGAAGGTCAGATTTCTGTTGGCTCTCGCTTTGACCAAACAAGTTGGTTTGCAGGCAGATTTCCTTATCTCTTTTTTTATAAGGGAGGTGTAAGTCTTGATTGCTGGAGTTATTGTGAGGTAAGCTAAGTAACTAGGTGGAGGAGAGGGGGGAAGACATGCATTTCAGGACCAGGCTTCTCACCACAAAGCATGCCTTTAAAAGAGGTGTTATGAGCTTGAGATCTCTCTCCTGCTGGGCAGGACTCTGTAATTGTTTCTGTAGAATAAGAACAACGCAGCTTCCATGAAAAAAGACTCAAAATAACAAGTGTTTTCTAGTAAGAATAGCTTAAAAAAACCTGGATATTCTTGGCTGCTTTAATACGGTTTGCCTAAGTAATGCAAACTTGTCATCCTTGTTTGAAACCTCCACCGTATTTTAAAGCAATTCCATGTCTAATAATTTATGAAGTGTCTGTGATTGTTATTTCCAGCTCTCTTGGTTAGTGAAGAGCATTTCTTTCTTGAGCAGCCCTTTTTTCCTTTCTCCCCCTCAGTACAGCTCTGAAAATAACAAGCTAACTTCACAGTTTTGTGAATAGGGGCCATAATGAGACCAAAGTGTATATGTTGATTAAAGGGGAAAAAATGTTGAATTCTTTGTGAAACAGTGAGGAACTGGCAGCTTTTGGGCCATGACTCTGTTCTGCAGGAGAATCAAAAGGAAAAGTTACTTTACATTTTTTAGTGCAAGCATTTTTGCTTTGCTAAAGCGAATGTCATTCAAATAGTCTGTATGGTTCTAACTTTAGAAAAACAGAATTATGATGCTGACTTTTTTTAGCTGGTTGTAAAGCCTGTTTCGGTTTGGTTTCCAATTTTGCCTCTGAGTACTAAGAATGTAGATTTAACTGGTAATTGAAAAGAAACATGTGCCAGAAGAAGATAAACATGATTGCTATTTAAGATACACATATCTTAACATGTGCTTAATTGTCTTAATTAAAGCAAAGCTTTAGAAGCATCATTACAACACAGTGCATTTTACTGGAAAACCCTTCATAGAAAGCTCTTTGAAAAACTTCAGAGATAATAGATGGTAGGACAATGGACACTGCTCTTTCCCTGGTGATCAAGAGGTTAATGTTGCTTCATCTCTTCCCCTCCCTGAAACAGGTTCTGTGAGGAGGGCTGCAGATTAGTGCTTGGAAGACACAGCATAGAGATTATCTCTGGGGAGGACAGGGCTCCTCACTCCAGGTCTCTTTTCCTACTTAAGCTAAAATATTATATGCCTTCTTGTTGCAAATGTTATTCCCTGCAGAAGAGTCCTCAACAGCTCTATCTTGCCATTTGCTGAATCATTTGAAATGCGTAGTGGAAGAGGGGAGAGCAATAAGGCTATAGCAAGAGGGAGGTAGGGAACCACTTAGGCTTTGGACAGAAGCAGGAATTGCAATATGGGACAAAATAGGGAACTCCTTCGCCTACTCGGGGAAAGGAAGATGCCCAGGTCTCCTTTCATGCTAGCCTTAGGAAGAGCTACAGCATTTCCTAAGATACCTTCAATGTGCAGAATTCTATACATACTGACATCTGTATGATGCTGTCTGGCAGCATACACTGAGAGAGCACAAACTGCACCTTTCTGTCATGGAAAAATTACAGTGGGATATCCCATGGAGATAAAGAAAGTGTCTCCTTCCCAGACTTCAAGCATTAACAAGTGACTAATTTATGGAACTGTGAACAGGGGAAAAGGAAAAAAATTGCCACTAACAGGAAAACGGAGAAGTCATTCACAACTCTAAATAAGAGGCGGCTGTTTCGTAGTTTCCCAAATTAAAATAATCTCACCAAATCCATTTCTGTAGGGATTTTTAAACAGTTTAAAACAGGCAGTAGCAGAAAATGTGTTCAAACAGGATCACTTTTTCATGGTACTGAGTGATGGTCGCATAGTGGTTATCTGCATCTAGTATAAGAGAGGTATAAGCCCAGTGCAATGCTGTGTGTATTCTCGGAAAGCTCCCAATTGATAGCTTTTTCCCTCCTGCTTTAGTCAGTATCCCAAACATTTCATATAAGGGGATGTGCACAACCTTCAACTGCATTTCTGTCCCATGTGGGTATTTGCTGTAATTGCCAGGAGACGGTGTATGGTCTGTGGGTAGAAAGGAGGTAACAGTCTGTGTCCTTACTAATGGAAGGAGTTGTTGTTCGGTGAACCTTCAGCCACCAAAATGGTGGTCACCAAAATGATGTGATAAAGCTCTCCTGGGTTAATGGTAGTGGGGAAGTTCTACATCTACACTGCTCCCTTCCTACTTTGTTGCACATCTAGGAGATTCTGAGGTTGTATCTTCCAGAGCTTGTCTACAGGTAATGTTGGTGTGTGGTTCTCTCTTCTTCCATTCCTTGTTTTCACTCACTGACACAGCCTTCTTCACCATGGGATCTTCAGAAAACTTTCAGGACTTGTGGCAGACTGCCAGTGCTGAGGGAGATAGGAGCAAAGCAGTGTCACCTCCTTCACCCCACTGGAAAAGCAGTGCCTGGGCATTCATGACTGTTCAGCATGACTCAAGTGGATGATCATCTTCAGATAGCTGCACTGTAATGACAAAATCCAATGCAGTCTTCTACAAACACCTGTGAAGAGTCCTGACCTGACTTCAGAGGTTCTTGTAAAAGGTTGCATTGCATCCTTGGCAGAAGATTGTCATCTCTGGAGATAAAGCCTTCTGAAATCCCTGGGGACTTCAGAAGATTTGGGGTTAGTCTTTTCTGTAGAGGATTTTGAGTTTCCTACCACTGTTATTGGAGCTAACATTTATGTAATTGGTGGAATCTTTCCAAGGATGAATTAATTAATCTACAGGAGCTTCTGATCCTTCAGATTCAACTAGATCTGATGGGACTGAAGAATGAAGGTTTTAAAAGATGAAGAGAGTCGCTGTCCTGCCTTACTGTTTTGCGGTCCCTTTTACTCGAGTAAAGCTTTGGCAATGCTTTTGAGGAAGATCAAAAGGACTTTTATTCATTAACAAAATTAGATGCAGGTCTTACATTTTCCTCAGCAAGTGACATATTTCCCTTTTTCTTGCAGGTATCAGAGATTTGAAAAAGCATTTCTACTAGCTGTTGACATAGGTGCTCGGGACCTCTTTATGGTGAGTCATTTCTGGAGACAGAGGCTGTTGTCAAGATGTTAGTTGTCAGCTTTTTGCACATTAAAAAGGATCCGTGTCATTTGCAGCCTTAGACACATACTGAAGACAGAGTTATTCTACCTGGCTTGCCCCTTGCCATCTCAAAACTTGTCAATTTAGAATCATTGACGTTTTACCTAGCATGGCCTAAAGGCTACTCTTTATTTTCTAGGAATTAATGTTTATGTTTTTGAACTTTCACCTTCTTCGTCTGTCCTGATGTGTGTGAATGTCATCTTGCACTCTAATAAGCTTATACGTTTCTAATCCGTTCCTTTAAGACGTACAACTGCTGAGTCTTGGACACAAGTGCTGACCATATCCTGGGGATCCTGAATGCTCTCAGTTTGTCTCTTAGGGTTTTGTGAAAAGTGACAAATTATGAACGCTTCTACAGGTACTTTTAAAACAACAAAGCTCAGCAGCATCAACCCAAGGGTTTTTACATTTCATGCACTCTCTGCCCCCTCCCATTTAATTAGCTACAAAAGTAAAATTAACCAGCTCTTAAAAGGTCTTCTGTGTGAGCTCTGCAGGAGGCTCTTGTTTTATAAGATCTTGCACCACAATGTCACAGCGAGGTCAGATGGACAAAGCCAGTCATGCTTTCCCAGTCTCTCAGCATGTTGCTGCTCCACAGCTGATTTCATTGTTTTCAAAGAAACAATGGAAAAGGGCTTTGTTTAAAAAAAAAAGAAAGGCCCTTTGAACGATTCCTTTGCTTGACTCTTTTGCATAATGAAGACATTCTGTTGTTTAAATTAAGCTTTGACACTAGATGTTAATATCATTTATCCCATTAAGTCACTTGCCCTGCTAGTTTGATCTTGATATTTAAATTGTATGTTAAATTACACAATTAAATCCTACTTTTATGGGTTATGAAAATTCCCTTCTAATTATATAAAAAGTTGTGTGAACCTTTTGATGTTTTTTTCACGGCTCTAATCATCTGGCTTGTTCCATCTAATTAGAAAGATGTGAGTATTGCGATAAACTTTTCTAAGTATGCATCAAAAGACTGCGATGGAAGTGTCAGGCATTTAGGAAATTCATTACGTGTTTTATATATACCCGCCTTGATTTTTCCTCTTTTTAGCTCTGCCTTTTTCTTCTCTCTTTTTGTTTTGCTTGTTTTAACTGTTAAGTTATTCAGTGCTGATTTTATCCCCAGTTGAGGTGAGCCCTGCAGTCATGCGTAAGTGTCATTTGGCCTACCGTCTCGGAGGCCCTCTCATGGGCTGAGGACATTGCATACACAGTCCTTCTCACCCTTCTTTCACTAATGGCAGCACCAAGGAGACACCAAAGTTGGGTCAGGAGGTGGGGGCAAAGATGCTAACATGGGAGGGAGGGAGCAAAGTGTGGCTGCACAGTCACGTCTCCCCGTCCCATCTCAGCAATGCCCTTAAACATTAATATAGTTACCTATGTAACTTACAGTCCTTCTAAGTACTAATGTAAAAACGCCACTGCTAAGCAAGGTTTGTGCATCCTTCACTTCTTAACACGTCACAATTTGTATATATTGTTTATATAGGTCAAAATGCAATTAACAGCATACAACTTGACTTTACCTATATTTAAAGTATTTGCAATTACATGCAGTATGAATAAGTAATATATAGGTCAATTACTTGTACTGCTGTTCTACAGACCTACCAAATCCGTTTGTAAAACCTCTGCGGGCTCTAAGAGTGACGCCACCTCATTTCTTGTTAATATTATGGGATTTTGAGAAGAAGTAGTAGACTGAGGAGGATATCTGATGGCATAAGCAAAAAGAAAAAGAAGAGAAAATTACTAATTGAATAGAAAGAGAAAAGGATAGAGAGCTACTAAACCGTAGCTTAGTGGTAGCAATGGTGATGAGAGGACGGTTGGACTTGGTGATCTTGTGGGTCCTTTCCAACCTTGTGATTCTATGATTCTGTATAACAGAGAAGTACGGAGGATCCATGTCACACACCTGTCTTCTCTGACTTGTAAGGAAACATCCTAATCTCGGAGAGTTTATTCTGAGCCAAATTTGTTTTCACAAAACAGAGCTTTGCAGCCTTCGTGATTCTTTTGAGATTGCAAAGAAGTTTAAAGGAGTGCTATCTAAGGTGTGATTTCTTTCATAAAAATGAAAAAGAAACTAGAAAAGCATCCAACTTAACCTTCTTGCTCTAGCGTCACTAGTATGATGCCAAAACAAGGCACACAGGCACTGCTGCGTCTCCCCGTAAGCTTTACCCTCACGTCACATCTGAGTCCATCAATTATTACCATCTCCTACAAAGTTCAATAAAAAAATAAAACCGAAAAGGACATAATATCATGAACAACAGCTACATTTATTGGACAGCGACTGATCCAATCTGTGACAGAAAAGATCAAGCAATGCAGGGGTCGTTAGCTTTAAATCCTTTTGTAGTATGCTCCAGCTCTCAGCTGCTGAAAATTCAAAAGGCCATCGCACGTACCAAAGGTAGCAAAAAAATGCAAGGAAAAGACACTTTAATAAAAGTGTCAGATCTTGGGCGATGGGCTGATGAGGAAAGCGCGTGTTTCGAAGACGTGTTGGAATGTTGCCCAGAAATATCCCATAGACAAATGCACATCAGTGTTTCAAATGACTTCTGCTCACCCAGGGCCAGCTCTGTGAGTCACAAAGAGGAGGGTAAAAAGGGAAGTGTCCAAAAAGTAATCAGGCTGTTCAATGATAAAACACAGCCCTTTCAGCAAACTCCTGATAAGCGGCTGAAAATTGTCACCGTTGTTTTTGGAGGGAGACGTGATATTTAACGTGGTAAATTCTTAGATAACGGTGTGAAAAAATCAGTAGCAAATATTAATTCTTTCCCTGCCCTTCTTTAAGGCAACCTGTAATCTAGTGGTTTTCCTTCATTTTTTATTTATTTCCTGGTCTTGTCCTGCTCAGAGATTTATAAACTCTTAGAAGACATCGTTTTGGTGGCCGATTTGAATGAGAACCACTTAAATATTATCTGAAATAGTCTAACTAGCAGTTTTTATAAAGAAAAAAAAAATATCTTTTCTTTCTGAAGCTTGTTTAGAGATGGGAACAAGAGCATTTGAAAAACGAAATAAATTCTTTGTGCCAACAACATGAGCAGCTTCACAGAAAGCCCCTTGTCATCCTACTGCCGTATTTCTGCTTCTTGCAAAACCCCCATGAGTGAGTGGTAGGTACATAACATCTTCAGACGTCTCTAGTGTAAGAACATGGCCAAAACAAGCTCTGAAAGAAAAACGGATGTTCTGATGTACCTCATAACCGCACGAACTTTGTCATTCGCTGCAATTGCTCCTATTGCAATTCCCCAGGTTTATTATTTAAATCTGCATTGAGGTAGACAATGCCTCCCTTAGATTAAAGAATAGAGGCATCAATCATAGTCAGAATGCATTTTAAAATAGGTGAACATAACCTGCCTATACGTTCAAATCTCTGTGAGCTCAGACTTGTCGGAGAGCCCTTAGGTTCTCTCTTGTTATCTAAATAAGCTGACAATATCTGAGGCTTAATCTTCATAGAAATCATACCTTGCTGCTCAGGCCCTTTTCTGTGACAGCCATGTTAGACCTACAAAGAGAGGAAGTGCAAAGTTCACAACAAGTTCAGAAGCCAGTACTTTGCTCCAAGACACTTGCACATTTTTAAGTCACACCTGTGTTAGCATCTCCTCTACAGTCAGAACCACATTCTCCTGTGGAAATGGTCTCATAACTGTTTGGTCCTCTCTTTGTTTTTTGTTTGTTTGTTTGTTTGTTTAAATTAAATGAGGGAAGAATACAGGTGACACTTTTAGCAATCAGGGCTGGGATGGGAAGAACTTTGCCTGATGATCTTGGTTTTCGTCCTTCCTTCATTTGTCTCAGTTCTTGCACAGAGCAGCCCCTGGCTGTGCCACCAGAAGAGAAGAGTGTTAGTTGTATCTTCATTAATGGAGTGAAAGGATGAAACTTTACTTCAAGTTTCAAAAGACCAAAAGCCAAGAGACTGCAAATCAAGGGACCGAAAACCAAGGCCACTGAGATTGCAACTTGTCAGCAGGAATATATTCTCATGTAAAATGTGCTGCAAGTAATGCAGGTGTTCTACACCTCAAAGGTTAACACACAATAAAAAGACTTCCAGTTGAACAGGGCACCATGGTTTTTATCCCTGGGTACAGAGTATTGGCAACTATTCATGCTAGACATCATTTTTGGAAAAACCCTTGTATATTTGTGATGAGGAGATCCAAGAGTGCCTCAGGAACCATGTCACCTGTGTGGAGGTTAAAACCTTTGAGCAAGTGTCACTGTTCATATTTCCTCCTGTATCAGCACAAGGGCAACCTCTCTCTTAGTCAAAGCACAGCCAGTGTGTCATGACAGCCTCCAAACAAAAATTAGTCCCCACCCCAATTAGCTTTGCCACAGAAGTCATGCACTGGGTGGAAGTTTTAATATTAAAACTGAGGGAAGAGTTCCAGTTCTTCCATTGTAGTTACTCAGAGCCTTCTTGTAGCAATTCTCTTCTAATTTTTGTACCGAACAACATTTCCCTAAAAGCACAGAGACTGGTTTCATTTATACACTAAGTCAACAGCTTCACTTTTATCAGTGCATGATTGGTCACCATTTTATCCATTGTTAACAAGAAATGCTGTATTCACCAGCACAAGTCAGATAACAAATGTGCATTGAGAGAGAATTAAAATGTAAAGCTAGGTTCATCAGTTCCATCTGTGTTTGTGATCTAAATAATAGAAGAACCTCTTTCTTTTAAATTCCCTTTTGTTATGCCTATGAGATTCATTTTAGATTAATCTTTTATTTTTCTTTTATTTCCAAAGGACATCCATTACCTCGCTCTAGATAAGGGTGAATTGGCACTAGCTGAAGTGGCGAAGAAAAAGGCTAATGACATTGATGCAGAATCAATAACTACTGGAATTGGTAAGAATTAATGGTGTTTAAAAAGCCCTTTTTGTTGTAATCAATACTTGTCCTGTACAACACTGTGTTATATTTGTGGGGGCTTAATGGTTCGATTACTGTTTTATTTGAAAGTGAGACAGTATTTTTATTCATAACTGAAGAGTGGAGCTTATAAAAATGGCAGAGCTTTCAGTGCCCATGAGAGGATTGTGTCAATGTAGGAGCTGCAGAACAAAAAAGATTAGCATACTATGGCTGTGTAGAAAAGTTCGGGCTGCTCAAAATGAACTCAGATTCCCCTCAAGTAAGGACCTGAATCCAAAAATCTTTTTCGTGCCAATATTAAAGGCCAGGCATGGCAATCTCATTCACCCATTTGCTTGTACATGCAGTCATGTAACTGGAGTCACGTCATGACTACATTGGAAGCGTTCAGAGGAAACATTTACTGATGAGAATGTAAGGCTTCAGTCCTGGCTGTGAAGGGATTGCTTCACACTCAGTGGTTCCTGTGGATTTGTAAAGAGGACTGATTCAAAAACTGCAATGTTAGTTCAAACAGTTCAAACACAAACAACTTTTCAGACAAGGGAAGCTATAACTCATTTGTTTTCTCCATGTGTTTCCTTTGAATTATCATGAAGAGATGTATACAAATAGGTAGATTATTCTGATTCTTCTGGCCTAAAACACAGTCCAAGCAGAAAGTGTCTACAGAGGTCTAGAAAGCTGACCTCCAGCAGAGAGAAAGTAGGCAGAGGGGAAAAAAAGTGGGCACAAGGTGTTTATGTAATATGTGCACAATGCTAATTTGCTTATCCCACCTTGAATATTAGATAAAGCCACTTCTGTCCTTGTCTTTTGCCAAGAATACAGAGCATGACTGGCACTTGGAAGAAGGAGTCAGAAAACCTTTCTTATTTTGAACAACATAGGGTTATTTTGGGGACCTAAAAATCAGATCTGTGCACCTATACCCAGAGTATATAAGCAAATGCCTTTCAAATGTATGGAAGTACAGAGAGGCTGTATATAAGTTTGTGAGGCTGTTTCTATGTACACAGACACAAGTTGCTGACTTGCAAGGTTGTGCAGTGCAGTGTCACCATCTTACCTCTCCGGCAGAGCAGAAATCAAGCAGTGCCTATCCTGAACTATCCTCAGCACTTTCCATTTTCAAGTCTAAGTCACTTTTGCATCTCTGCCTTTGTACAAAGCTCTCTGACCACTAGAATTGCCTAATACAATTGAGATGCTGAAGAGTTGTTTCTGATTTTATCTATTGTCTTAGCATGTTAGTCATGTAAAAATGCACTTAATCCAGAAAAATTCAACCTTAATCTGTCTTTAATTCCTTGCAAACTATTAATAGATTTCTGAAGGTAGGCAGTTTTGAACTTCACCATCTTATAGACACTGACACAAAAAAAGGCAGGGAAGAAACCTGAGGTGATCACAGGTGTGCTATGAGTATATCGGGGTAATGCATGTACAAATACAGTTACAAATGTGCAGGTACACAGTGTTCCCCTTCTTGAGAGCCGTCCTGGGATTCCCCATAAGCGTGAATTATTAAAGTCATTTTATATGATAAAGTCTTTAAAGTATTCTCATTTGCTGAATAATTAGCTATCAGAATGACTTAAAATACTTAGTAAATTCAATGCCCCTGGGACAAACTGTCAGCGAGATTCAGTCTATTAACAGTAATGAATTTGCATCCAATTCATTTTATATGAAAATAAACAGGAGTCTCCCGTGAGTTCGTTTCAATTCAGATTGGATCTCACCTTAAACACTTGAAATCTCAGCCACAGGCTTTGTTTTATCATACTTCATTCCAAGGTCCTTTCTTTTGAATGTTTCTATTTCGGAAACTGTTGTTAGGAAAAAGAAAAAAAAGAAGTTGTCATGAAGAATGAGTTTTGTGAGCCCAGTGATAACACAAGAAGACTAACAAGTGCTTTCTATGTAAATGACTGCATTTTTTTAATATATTGTGAAGGGCAGTGAAAATTGTGCCTGCACCAGAAGCTTTAAAATGCAGTTCCAAACAAGTCTCTGTCTCCTATCCATCTCCTAAGCTGAGTCTTCATCATTGAGTTCCTGCTTCCTGGGGCTTTCTGCCACTCAGTCACCAGTGGTCATACTTCCTAAGTCAATTCCCAAACACCTTGAATGCCCACTTGAAGCTCCTACATAAGCAAATGAGACCCAAGTTATGCTGAGCACTACCTTAGGGAATATGAATACAGCATATTTCCTATATATGGTACAGTACAGTGTTTTGTCCTAAACAGTACTGATGTGAACCAATGTCTGCATCTAGTGATATTTCCTGAGCTAGCCCATCCCCAAAACTCAGCTCACCTCTACTTGAGTTAGTGCTCTTGGCCAGTTCTCAAGCTTTTTAGATTGCCCAGATATATTTAATTTGTTAAAATAGTTCTCTATATAGGGCTACTTCAAATGTAGAATACTTAAAACACAAACTTTTGGAAAAGTTTCAAACCCTTACAAATGATGTAGAATGACAATACAATTTCAGCTCGAATTTATAAATGTCATCTATAATCATTGCCGGATTCCTCACATCTATTAAATCAAGATTTGTTTCAAGATAAAATTAAAAATAGATTTATTGTTTTGAAGTTTCCTGAATTTTAGCTGTCTTCAGCCCGTTGCTAGGTCATAGTTTGCTATTCACTGTTTCCAACAAGGCACCATCAACATAAGGAATGGCTGGGTTCAGGTGGTCGAAACACCTGTAGAACTTGAGAGCGTTGTAGTTTTGTGAGAATACTGCTGAGCAGGGTGAGGTGTCGAGTGAGCTTGCTGCTATTCCTTGCCTATGGTTTTGGCAGAATCAGATATTTTGTTCAACTGATTAAAATCTTCTGAAGAAAATTATTCTCATAAGATTTTATGTTTGACAGCCTGTGAAAATGCATCTTGAGGCATGAGCAGATTGCAGTAATGGTACCGTACACCTCTGAGTATACACCAGCAGCCTCCTCTTTCCTTGCTCCCAGTTGATCAGCAGACCAGTGGCTGTAGATGTTGTTGTTACCTCTGCCAAAGTTTTCCCACTGAATTATTTCTGTAGTAAACCTACGAGTTCCTTAATGAGGTCAGGGAGCTCTCATTTAGCCTTGAATATTGTGTGCACCTCATTTCACTGTATTAAAGCAGAGAGGATTTTCTTCCATGTTGACAATATTTACAGGCTTACTAACAATTTTGTTTATGGGTGTAGCCTCCCAGGTGTACTCCTGGACGAAGTAACCGGGTACAGCACTGTCTGTGGTGGAAGAGTGCATCTTCTCAGTGAACTGCAGGTTGCTAGCGTAAAACTTGGGTTGCAAAGAACTGACATGGCACAGCCTGTTAAGAAATGCCATAACTAATAATGATCACGGAGGTGAAGAACTCAGCCTTTCAGACATCATTGCTCAATGAATATCCAATGAAGAGCATATGCAGTCGGTGTCAGAAAGTTTCCCAAGGCCAACTTCCAACAAATTACATTAGGGCCTAGCAAGATGATTTCAACCTTCAAATCAATAGCTTTTACCCAAAAGGGATTCGTGTTGTGACAAGATAGATAAATGCTGCATAGTTCAGAGGCAAATTGGGAAGCCCTGTATTTCTACTTAGAATTAAATTCATAGTATTAGTAACACTAACGTTTAGGTAGCATTTCTAACAGAGGCATCGTAATAGTGAGATAGGATATCTTACCAATTTTCATAGAGGCCGAGGTCCAATTTCTTACACTGTTCATAAAATGACATTCAAACTGTAGGGGCCCTAAAGCTTTCCCCTTATTGGCAGGGAACATCACCAGCTTCAGCCTTAAGCAGAGAATGTTCATTTCTTCTCAGTTCTCAGTATTTTACCCTGAATGGCTTACATGTTCTTTCTGTTAGTTCTTAATGGCACGTGCCACAGTCTTCATGCAGCCTGTCTGAGACACCAGTATGGTGTCACATACATACTGCTGCATCCAAATTGCTTGTGTCCTACTCACATCTTCACCTATTCTTAAGAGTCCAAATGAGCCCACTTGCATTTCAGACAACATGTAGAACTGTCCGATGGGTTTTGTCACCTTCCCCAGCCCTGCATTACTATGGTTGATAACAGTGGTTTCTCTTCTGATCATAATGACTCCTTGATATACTCTTTCTGACATGGATGACAAAGCCTTCTTCATTTCCTGCTCTTACTTGACACACACATCTTCCTCTTGCTATCAGATTTCAAGCAAACTGAGAATCCCAGCCTTTTATTTGGTGTCATGAGTTTCATTTCACTGCATAGCATGTTGATGCAAAGGTATTGCCCAAAATGCGGATGAACTGTGATCTGGGAGTACTTGGGGGGCACCAGCTGATGCTACAGTTTTCTTGAGCTCTGCTCCTTTCAGTTTAAATTTTGTTTTGTTTATTTTAGTTGAGGTCTGTAGTAATGCCAAACTACTTTTGGCTCCACCTCATCTCACCCCTTCACTCACTTCTGTCATGATGTCAGTTTTGATCTGTACCTTCCCATTGCTAGACATCTTCGCCTAAAGACATAATCCTCAGCCCCTAATAATTATGAGCACATCAAAGGCTAGCTGGTTTGCTTAGCTGCAGAGGTCCACACAAAGATCTGTGTATCTTCACTTGAAAGAGATTTATAGTTTTCTGTCAAGCTTTAGAATAATCGTGACATGCCTTTTTCTTCCTTCTTCATCGTGACATATCCTTGCTCACTACAAAACCTGATTTTGAACTTCACCACTATAAGCTTGAAATTAAGGCACTACTCTCTGTAATATTTTAATGGTAGTGATACCCGTATTTCTAATATCTGTCAGCAGTAAAAAATATATCCCATTTAATGTGAAAAATGTTTAACAAGAGCTCATAGATCACCATGAGTTTGCCTTCATTTTAAATGATGTATGGAGTCACAGAATCACAGAATTGTAGGGGTTAGAAGGGAACTCTGGAGATCACTGAGTCCAATCCCTGTTAAAGCAGAGGGGAAAAAAAGTAACTGGAAGAGACAGTTTTAGGGAGTTAAATGTTTGTGTATATAGCTACCTGGCTATTTTATAAACAAAGTAATTGCAGTATTTCCACTTTCTGGAAGTTGAGAGGAGCCGTCCCTGTCTGTTTTGTATTTGTTGTACTTACATTAGGTTATTGCAAGGTACGTCTCTTGTCACAGATCATTTCAGTACACTTCTAGCTTATCCCTCCAGCAAAGTTGGTGCACGTGAACAACAGAGAGTAGGTGACACTAATTACCAAGTAAAAACTTATTTTCTGTAGCAACGTATCAGGAAGTAACTTGCGAAAGTGAAAACAATTCACAGTGAGATTCCTTGAGTGAGGATGTGAAATGACAGAGAGTGATTCAGCTTAAAAGATCTCAAAGGGGTGCCCGTGGCAGAGCATTGCAGTATAGAGAAGTTAGTGAATGTGCAATAATTAGTATGTCTGTTATTACTAGCAATTTAAATAGTACATTTATATAGTTCTCTATTTAAAATAAAGGCAGAAATACTTTGGATGTGTAGAGAGGCATCACATGTAAAAAGTTGGAAGTCATTAAAAGATACACTTTCTTACAGCAAGGCATTCATGCCTGTGTCCAGCTGAAGTTTCTGTGGATAACTACACGTTCCTTCCCACTGTTATACACTGCACAGTTCCAGTCAGAATTCACTATTCTTTACTTCCCCATTCTGACACTATGGAGTGTTGCCTTTCACCATGAAGCTCTGTATGTGTGCATGGCCATATACGTGAAAATTAACCAGAAACCTTTTAGTTTAACTTCTTTTCATGAAGTTCTGCTGGCATCATTTATCATCTTCATGAGAATGGGTGGCTGAGGAAATTTGTATGTGCCACTCCTGAAAATATGATCCTCAATAAACTGGGATTATCAGCCAGTTCAGGAAGCAATTTTGAAAACTTTGAAGTGAAATGTGATGTATGGGGAGATCACTCAATTAATGCTGGTTCTTTTCCTACTGCTTTCTTAACATTCATTAAATGCCAGCTATTTAGGTGTCAATTAGCATGATGAGTTTTTCAGCCAAGCTGTGGTACACCAAAAGTAGAGTTAGGCTCCTTATGTATGACAATCACATTTGAAAAGGCTCAAGCTTTGGAAAAGCATATAGAAATTATCTCAGGATATGATTGAAATGGCAGATTGATGGCAAACATTTTTACGTCTGCAACTTGTGTCATGCCTGAAGAAGGCCTTCTCCAACATCCGTCCTGTTTTTTGTTGCTACTCAAAAGGGAAAAGCGACATTTGGAGCACTAGGAATGTGAGTCCTCAATACTGGCTCTGCAGACCAAAGTCAATTTAAATAAGAAGCACACATAGTTAAAGTAACTGTTGAAACAAGCTATCAAAGAAATTGATGCATGGAAAGCGCCTTTGCATGGAGAGTGAATGAATACCTTTCTGGGAAATAGGTTTTAACCAAATACAATTTATATATGAGTCAAACACAAGTTTTTCTGGCTCAGTGTAGGATACCTGAATGAGATTTAATGGCCTGTAATTCACTGTAGGTCAAACTAGATGAGTTGTTCTGTATCATTATAGTGTAATATTCATATGTACTGGATTCCTGTCTTGCCTACAGCTCTGTGAAAAAGCCCCTGGTAAATCTCCCATTAGCTTCAAAAGGCCCACATGTAGGCTGAAAGACTGCAGTTAGAAGCCACATAATGTATATTCACACATCTCATAGTATGCACGTGTGTGTGTACATAAGTGGGTGTTATGTTTACACATACTCAGCCAAAAACTGTCCGGTCATAAAAATAGCTCTAACTCCGAACATGAGAGCTAGATTAATTATTATGTGTTTACATTTTGCTTTGTGACATCAGCAGCCACAGCTGGTTTTTTTTTGTTGTTTTTTTTTTTTTCGGGGGGAAGAAGAAATGATCACAGCAGGAGGTGCTTTCATAATTGCTGTAGCTGCCTGGGAGCAAGGATCTGTAAGTTCACGGTGTGTCAAAGGCATGTTTGTCTCGCACACCCTTGAGCCATCCTCAAGCCTCTAGGTTTCTGATAGGGAACTTGCTGGTTGCATTTCTATGCACCGAAAAGAGTTGGCAAACACATATTTGCATGGCAGTTGGTATGTGTTTTGTCCTGTTTGTTCTGCGTAACATAATGTGATGTGACAGGCTGCAATTTATCACATCGGTGGCATGACAGCAGAGGAATGGGAAAAGAGGTATAATGGTGGTCTGACGCAAGGCGTCAACTTAGCATTAGGTTGTAATATCTCAACATGAGGTCTTTTTATATTCGCCTACCAAATGATTATCACCAAACGTTCCCCATGCAGGTGAGTTTAAGAAGTGGAGATCAGGGGATCTCCATCAGGGGAGAGTTGTAGATACGAGTTTGGAAAGAACAATGCTTGTCAATAGGAGACGTTTTGCACATCTGCTGTCTGATCAAACAAATAAACAGAAACACTGGAGGACGATTTATTTACTACAACCTCTCTCACTACGTCCCGTGCTGCACTACAGGCTGGGAATACCATGGAATTGCTGCAGGCAAAATTGAAGGTTGGAACTGTTTTCCTCCAAAGGCTGCTGAAGAGACTGCTTGACAGTTTATGCCCAGGAAACTCCTTTATCAAAACCAAAGGTGTTTGATGACCTGATCATAGCTCTTGTCGAATGCTTTCAGCCTATCAAAACCAAATGCCCAATAAAGGCCTGTCTGTTGGTGTTCTCCTTTGGAGAAAGCCATAGGGGAGAGCTCAGTGGGGTCCAAGAGGAAGCTTTGCACCCATTGCTGCTGTCCTCCTTGCACTGTCTGAAGAACTAAATTTGCCTTAAAGAAGAAGTAAGAAGTAACATGGGTTGTTAGAGAAAACACATTGATGGAAAACCGGTGGACGGCACTTAATACAGTGCAATGAATACACCAGAATGAATGGCTTTTTTCCTCATTTCAGCTATTTGAAATACAGTTTCTTTAAATATTCTTCCTGTGGGCTCCTGTGGATTAGTTGGCACTGAAACTTCTTAAAATCTCAGTGCTGTGAGACTGCTGCAGCTCCCAAACTCATGCATGCATGGTATCTGAGTTCATGATCCCAAGAAGTCCTGAACTGTGCTAGATTTCAAACTGCAAAATTTAGTCTTAAAAACAGATCATGAGGCAACGTCGGTTATCTCTGCATTGTTGATATTATGAAATGGCAAAATATTATAATAAGATGAAAAGATAGTATTAATAACAGCTTAAGCATGTATGATGATCATTATAATTACTTATTTACTGTGGGTACACAGTAAGTGTCCCACCTTATCATCTTTATGATTAAGCAAAGAGCTTGATTTCTGCCTCCTACCTTCCTAGCCCAGGCCTGGCTACAATCCGTGGCATTTGGACTCCTGGCTCGCACCACAGGCTCCCTCCTCTTGCCCATGTACCCGATACTTTTGCTGGATGTAACATACCTTCCTCTGCTACATCTTACTGTGATTATCTGCATACCTCCGCTGAAATTGGGCATTGGCTTTGCTAATATTCTTACTGCTGAAAATTTCCCCCTTGAAGATGCTCATATATGGCTGAAGTGCACAGATGAACAGCACATTTTGGGGCCATCCCAGAGCCCTTGCAGAATAACCTTATTTCACCTTCCATCACTGCCCTGACATGAGCCTGACATGTGCTCACCCTCTGACTGCAACCCACAGAAGGAGGGATGTGGAACCCAATCCGAACTTCTACTGAATCATCATCTCAGTCTCATTGCAAAATTTCACCACCTGACTACCTAAACAAAACAAACTTTTAATAACCAAATGGAAGATGTTTGGTACAATTACTACTTATATATATATATATATTGACTACATAGTAGTAAATTTTAGCCAAAGAAGCCAGCCACGAGGTGCTTACTGGGAGCCCTTGCTTTTTGCCTGCACGTGGGAAGGCTCACAGCGTGAACATGGAGCCCATGTGCATGTAGTTGGCTGTGCTGAAAGACTGTGCTGCTGCTGCCTTTTAGACAGGCAGGGAAGAGTTGGGCCTGCAGCACTCTCCTGCAAACACAGGAATAAAATATTATCGAGAATTTTAGTAGGAAGACATGCCTGGAAAAACTCCTGATATCCTCCAAAATTCCTGAAAGAAGTACAAGCTTCAGTCAGTGCCTTATTTTCACATACTGTTATCAACTGCACTGCCCCAGCCTATTTCTCTGTGTGCCTGGAAGCGGTGTTGCTCACTTACAGGACCAGGAGCAGCCAACAGGTCAGTGACAGGCCGATGGCAGTCCTCTCAGTGCAACCCCAACCTCCTGAGTGACTCTGGCCAGCTCATTTGAGCCCTCGGTGCTTTCATTTCCCTTTGGGGAGCCCTCTGTGACGTGCACCCCTCCTTCCCACAGCATCCCCACCGCAGCCCTGGCTTCTTCTCATCACCTTTCCAGCAGTGCCCTCCCAGAGGCAGGAGCACAACCAGGCCAAGTCCGTTTTCCAAGCTCACTTATTTTCTGTGATTTGGAGGAATTTTTACAACGCGCCGCTGGGAAATGAGCCGTAATATTCTTGTTGCTATCTGCCGTTAGGTGTCAGTGTGACAACAACCATGATGCACAAAGGCTTTTCTAGGGGCGGGCAAGACGCTCCGTGCTCAACTTCTCCTTTCGGGATCGGGGAAAACACAACATCCAACCGAGAGGAAGGGGAAGGGAGAACAGAGCCAGCATCACCTTATTTCAGGTTTTTCCACCGCCTGATGGAAGCTATTTACTAGCAGATAAGTCTGTTTGCGTTTCATTCCGTGCGTCTCGGGGCTCCCGGTGCTGTGGTTCTCAGAGAGGTGCAATATTTACCAAAGCAGGGGAAGAGCTGCGCACACCGCCCCGACACGCTGTGCTGGGGCAAAAGACACACTCGCAGCTCTTGGTAATTTGCAGTCTGTAGGAGGTAAACAGCTCTGCCCGTGCACAACTGCTGAAGTATTCCTGTAAGGTGATGCCTGCTGAGGTTGGATAAAACACTGGCTTAGAAAAAATAGCGAGGAATTCCGTTCATTCAGAAAGAAAGGATGAAAATGATGTTTTTTCACTGAAAATGATCCATTATTTCAGTGTATGGGTGGTATGCAAAGTAGAGAAATAGTAAAAATGTGATACACGTGAAGGGGTTTGTTATTAAATCAAGTTTCAAGTGCTTCCCAAGATGAGATGACAAACACAGCAAACAATTTTTGTTTAGATGGGAGTTTTTAAACTTAGTACAGGTAGGAAATAAAAATCTGTTTTGGCCAAAAAAAAAAAAAAAAAAAGTCTTTGTCTGAAGAAAATTGTTTTCAGAAATATTCTTCTGATCCCTCTGGTGTTGAGAATATCCCAAGTACTTGTAGGGTGACATTTCCTCCCTTATTTTTGAAGCCAGGAGTGTTCCCACCATTGATTTTGATCAGATTTAGGACAGGGCAGTGCAATGGCTAACTCACATTGGCTTTCCCAGGGATCAGGGAATCTGTTGTGCAAGAAAACTCTTTGAGGGCAGCTTTGCCTTCCTATTGCCTCCTTAGGAATACAAGAGATTGTGAGCATTGCTTAAGTTTGTTGCCATGATGATGTTCTCCCATTCCATACGCTTCTGGTCTTGCCTAGAAAGCTGTCTCCAGCGCTCCAGTGATTTGCACCCTAGAGCAGGACAGAGGCAGTGGGGGCAGGACAGGCAGCAGCCAGGCAGGTAGCAAAAACCTCTACGAGATGTGGGGTGTGGGCAGGGCTGGTGCTGGCATGTAGGGGAAGGAAAGGATTGCTCCAGTAATGCAGGAATGTGGAAAGATGCTTTGTAAGGGCAACCTTTTCCTATTGAGCCTCACTTGCTTTCCATGGATACGAAATGCACTTTAAATGATGAAAGGAGCAACACTGTATTCAACAGATATCAGAGAATGCAGGCTGGCTTAATTACCTCCTCTTAAAAAAAATGTCTTTTTCTACAAAGGTGAGCATCTGTCTGAGACAGAATCTGTTCTCCAAACTCCTGTTGTGCGCTTCTGTGAGAAGAGTGAGGGAATGAAGGAGGGCCAGGGAGATGATCCAGGGGAAGATCCACAGGGATCTTTCTCTTAGGGTTTTTCCTCTGTTGCCCTCACCACCCACCAGCTCCCTGCCAGCAGCCTCTGTGCTTACCTGGCCATGGCTGTCTATAAGGCCTTTGGGCACCCGAACCAGGTGTCAGCAAGCCCATGCAGCCAGCCAGGCAGGTGAGTGACAGCCCCAAAATGCCTATCAGGGAGAACCTGCCCTGATATCTGCTTCAGTGCCTTCATTAGCCACACCTTGCTGCTCAATTGTCGAGTGTCAGTCAGGGTGCTCCAGAGATGGCTACAACAAGGCGTGCTCTAATACCCCAACTGCTTTCATGTCCCAGTGCCTTCGGGTGCTTTTAGAAAACGCATCCAAGTTTCATCTCATGCAGTGGGATTTAGCCAAGAGACACCGAACAGAGCACCGTATAAGTGTCATTAAGAGAGCATTAAGCAGGATGTCAGAATGTATGTTGTGTGCATGTGTATGTGTCTGTGTGCATACACATAACTCAGACATATACACTTTTGGCACCAGGGAGGTTTAAAATAGCACATCAGCATCAAACGTGGCAAGTTTTGAATTCATCTCCTTAGCATGGCCAGTTTTGTAGCATCATAGAATCATAGGGGCTGGAAGGGACTTCTGGAGACCATCAAGTCCAATCCTCACGTTTCCTGTGGTGGATGTGCACATACAAACCTGACAAAGCTTGGCACTCATTTTATGGGAACTTACCCAAGAAATTCAAGACTTTATTTCATAATTCTTAAAGCACAACAATGACAACAGAAGTAGGAAGTCAATATTTTTAAGTGGAGTGAAAAAAAGCCAACATGCAAGCATTTTAAATTTTGGTATATGTTACATGGCAATCAGCTTATTGATATCAGAATAGGTTTAGTCTACACAGCCTTCCAGCATAAGCCACTTCTTTTCCATGCGTCCCGCTGACTGTGTGTGAGCACATTTGCCTGGCAGAAGCCAGCAAGCACTGCTGATTTGTAATTATTGTTTTGTTTACAGATGGTATTGCCATTTTTCTATTATTTGGATTAGGGAACCAACCGGTCCCAACTTTTTCTTCATTAAAAGTAAAAGAAAAAATCTCCTTTTAATAAGTGTATGCTTCACACTTTCAAACTTCAATAGCATGGAATGTTTCACTTGATCAGAAAGCTGATTTAATTTGCTGCTAGGTTAAATGTTAAAGGTTTCAGTCTTATGACCATGAATTCTCAAATTAAATTCAGCGCATTGCTTAAATTTCTAGCTGCAGTGCATTTAGGCTAATTGCTTTGGTAAGTTGGATGCTTAGTAACTACCACTCTTCTGAATTTTCGTCCTTAGAGGAGAGCAGTGAAATAAGCCTGAGGGGCACAGGTGGGCTCGCCTGCTCTTTGCCATTCACCTGTGGGGTCTTTGGATATCTCTTCCAGTCTGACCACATCCTTAGACCATGTCTGATGAGGCTGTTCTGCTGACAAGGGAGAGAATTTAAACACCTGTAGGTTTGAGCTATTTAAGCCCAAATCAGTTTTGAAGCAACAAGAAAGGCTGAGCAAAACGGTTCAGATTTCAGTCAGTTGTCAGCTAAATGTGTGCACTGGGCCTTCAAGTATTTGGCCAGACACATCTTGATTGCTTGGCTTTTGTTTTCACCCTTGGAAAGTCAGCTGGATAATAGCCCCTAGCCAAAGCCTATTCTGCAGTGCTGTAAGTGGGCAGGGCCTGGGGGCCAGCAGGAGAGCTCACCCAAAAAATACCGAGCTATCTTGACATATTTCCTGATTTTTTGTCTGCCAACTTATTTGCACTCCTTCCTTACAACGTTAACCATAAAAATCATTCGGTCTGAACTTTATCACCACTGATGCTCTTCCCTTTGGAGGAAGTCACTATGTAAAGCACAGGGTGATGGAAGCAGCAAAGGAAACGTCTGCTAGCTGCACATGGGCAAGCCCCAAGCACTTAGCCTGAGTACCTAGCTTTCTCCTCTTTGTTTACAGCATTTTAAGGCTTTTAGTTCTCACGCAGCATATATGTCATTAAATGTCCGATGCCTCTTTGCACACCTTGTTGTGATGCCCTGTGGCAACCTGAATTAATTGTTTCTGTAGTTGGTGGTGGTTACTAGCAGTAATTATTATAATTTGCATTTATAAAAACACCTTTCATCTAAGGATCTCAAAATGCTTTTGCTCACATTTAATTAAGCTTCACAACATCCTGTGAGGTAAGTGTCAAGAGCATAGTTATATCCACTTTTACACTGGATTCCCCAAGAAAACAAGGTCAGTCTCTACCACGGTGGGTGTTTGGGACACATCACATTTGCACTGAGTGGAGCAGGAACCAGAGGTGCCAAAATATGGTCACTGTCCATATCCCACATCACTGTATGACCACCACATACACTGGCAGAGCAGCGGAAGCCCAGATCTCTGGTCTGAGAGGGCCAGCTCCTTTCCCTGGAGAATTCAGCTACAGAAAAGTCTTGAGAGGAAAAACCAATCAGCACATATTGCACAAGACAACCCGTGCTGCAAAGATATCTATTTTCCCTCATTTTCTACCATGAAGTTTAAGCCTCTCATTGCAATCTGCACTCAGTGACACATGGCTACTGCAGCTGAAGGCAAGAAACCAGCTGCGAGGAATGTGAAGTTGCCCTTTAGAAGACTCACCTGTCTTAGAAGAAACTGCATGCACTTAACTGCCAGCCTTGGATCAACTCTATGTGCAGTGAGCCCTCCCAAGACCAACCACATCCAAGGTTACCACTTGACCGTGGCATATAGAGGTGAGGACAACACAAGCTTTGGCACTTAAGAGGACAGCAGCAGAAGTTTTCAAAAGCCCATTTCTTCTTCATAAATTTGTAAAAGTGTTGTTTGAACTGAACCCAGCTCCCTGTAAGCTCTGGATGAGCCCCACAGAATCACAGAATCACCCGGGTTGGAAGGGACCTCAAGGATCATGTAGTTCCAACCCCCCTGCCTAGCAGGGCCACCAAACGTACACATTCAGATCAGGTTGCCCAGGACCCCGTCCAACCTGGCCTTGAACACGTCCAAGGACGGGGCATCCACAACCTCCCTGGGCAGCCCATTCCAGGGCCTAACTACTTTCCTTGTGAAGAATTTCCCCCTAACATCCAACCTAAATCTTCCCTCCTTCAACTTGGATCCATTTCCCCTAGTCCTGCTGTTGTCAGCTCTTCTGAAGAGTTTACTCCCCTCCTGGGTGTAGGTTCCCTTCAGGTACTGATAGGCTGCAATGAGGTCACCCCGCAGCCTTCTCTTCTCCAGGCTGAACAAGCCCAACTCCCTCAGCCTGTCCTCATAGGGGAGGTGCTCCAGCCCCCTGATCATCTTAGTCGCCCTCCTCTGGACCCTTTCCAAGATCTCTATGTCTTTCTTGTACTGAGGGCTCCACACCTGGACACAGTACTCCAGGTGGGGCCTCACAAGAGCCGAGTAGAGAGGGACGATCACCTCCCTGTCCCTGCTGACCACCCCTCTCCTGATGGAGCCCAGGATCCCATTTGCCTTTCGAGCTGCCAGAGCGCACTGCTGGCTCATGTTCAGTCTCTCGTCCATCAGGACCCCGAGGTCCTTCTCTGCCGAGCTGCTCTCAAGGACCACTCCTCCCAGCCTGTACGGGTGCCTGGGGTTCTTCCGGCCCAAATGCAAAACCTTGCACTTTGCCGTGTTGAACCTCATTAGGTTCACCCGAGCCCAGCCCTCCAGCCTGTCGAGGTCCCTCTGAATGGCATCCCTTCCTTCCACCGTATCAACCGCACCACTCAGCTTGGTGTCGTCAGCAAACTTGCTGAGGGTGCACTCAATTCCCTCAAGGAAGGTAGGTCTATGTAGGTGCCTGCACATTGGCTAAGAAGTCCGTGGCCATGCCCTCAGAGTTCTTCACCATCCCCGTCAATTTATAAAGGCTTGTTTACATATGACAATACCAGATTAACTATTTTGAAAGAACTTTGCCTGTGGATGCATCTAATCCAAAATAAAAGCCGTGTTTCTAAATTAAGTGGACTCACAGGTAGGGAATGATCATTCTGAATAATGTGAGAAAGAAAGTTATTAATCTATAGATCGTTCTGCCAGCTTGTTCTGAAGCGGGCTGCCTGGCTGATGCCTCACAGTGCTGCAGTATTAGGCAGGGACACAGTTGCATATTCATCAACAACCAAGTTTGTTGTCAGCACAACCTTTTCTCAAAGGGGGTGTGCCAATGCCAAGCAAGAGGCACAGTGTCCTTGTCCAAGGTCTTGCACAGCTCTCTGTCCTCACTTGGTGTTATTTCTGGTTTTACCTAACAGTGTGAAATCATTCTGAAAATATCCTTGTTTGTTTCTAACAGCAGAAAACTCAAGTTGGGAAAGGCTTTGATGTGTCCCACTCCACTCATAGGAGATGCCAGTAGCAGGGAGGCTTTGACCTGGTGCCACTGGAGAAGCACCCCAGAGATGCCAAGAGAAAAGATTAATCATTCCCAGAGCATTCTCCCAGGGACAGTGTTGCTTACTCCCAAATCCTTTCAGTTCCCATAAATCAATTTATGGGATTCATTCTGCTCCCATGTTTCTCTTATGACATAAAAGCACACATCATTTCGTTTGGCCTGACACCATCTGCTTCACTTCAAGCAGGAGAGTGGCCAGTAAGTGGGCTGAGATTGTTTTTAGTGACAATCCTTGTAGGTTTTCTTCTTTTCCTCTGATCCCAACATGTTTGTCTTTATGAAAGGGAAGGGAAGGGAAGGGTAGGGAAGGGTAGGGAAGGGAAGGGAAGGGAAGGGAAGGGAAGGGAAGGGAAGGGAAGGGAAGGGAAGGGAAGGGAAGGGAAGGGAAGGGAAGGGAAAAGAGAAAAACAAAAAAAAATGCAGGAGCGACCTGGGTCTTGCCAGAATACAGTCCCATGGGAATCACAACATCAGGCCCACAGAGGGTCTTGCTGCAGCTGCCTGAAAGCTGTGGCAGTAACTTCAAATCAGCACTCTAGGGTTTGTTTCTTTTTTGGGGAAGTTAAAAATTCTGCTCAAGTTATTTCCTATAGCAATAATGACTCCATGGGTACTATGTTATCCTCTTTGGACCTCAATCACTCCCAGAGATTCAAGATGAACTCTGCCTGCCCAGGTACCAGAGTCAGTGCCCCGAGGAATTTCTTCATATCTCTGGGATATGCAGGATGTGTACTCGCATGCCCTCGCTGCCTCTCAGCACCAGCTGTACATGCAGTTTTGTTTTGGGAACCTGTACCTCCAGTATTGCAATATCTCTTTCAGTCTCTGTCATCAAGAGTTTAAATACAGTTCAGATCAGTGTTAGTGGCCCAGCTCCAAAAGAGGAGAATTGCTGCAATTCGTTATCTTGACAAATTAACTGGTCTGAGGCAATTCCTTTTTGAGAGATACAATTAGCTAACTCTTGAACTCTAGCCTTGCTCCAGTGCTATGGCAAAGTCATGTACCTGCTCCAAAACTTTTGATAATACAACTAAGTACAACTAAGACATTTCCACCTGCAAATGTATTCCTGCACCAGGAGCCATATTAGTGTGCCATGGTCATGCCCTGCTGTCCTTACACTGCTCTCGTACCTGCTGTAGGGTGGGCTGATAGTGCAGCTTCTGCTGTAAAGGGATCTGACCTCAGCCAGCTGAAAAAAGCCTGTATGAAGACTGAGGTGATCTTGTTGAGTAGCACCTAGGGGATGGTACTGGTTGCGATCCCTCAGTCTGTATAGACCTGGTGAAAACAGGATTACCATCAGGTGTGGGAGCTGATGCTACAGCTTCCCTTCCCTCCTGTCTAGGGGAACAGTTTTTTTTTTCTGTCAAGCAAAGGGAAGACGTCCACAGCTACGTCATACTTCCAGCCTCATATGGGTAGATGCAGTTCCCTTCCCATTTTCCTTGGAAAGCAGCTCCTGCCCTCCACAGCAACTCACCCTCGGGCATCATCTTCCTTTGCACAAGCACTGCCAGCTACCATGAGATCTCCCTCAACCATTAATCCAAGCCATTTTGGAAGCTCTGTATGGGATGATAAAGCTGTCCTGCAGAAAGCTTGTGTCTGCCTGCAGCCTCTTTGTATGGATGTGGTGGCTCGGAGGCTCCTAGAGCTCCACTTTGAATTCCAAGCCTTCAGCATTCAAAACATTTAACCCTCAATTTCTTTTCCCCTTTATCAGTTTGGCCAATTTCCAGCTGGCAGTGTTTGTTTGCAGGCTTCTATCCCGTGTCTTGTGCTTGCAGATGTCTCTCTGTCTCAATTAACTCCCCAAAATGGTTTTCCTCTCCCCTGGTTGGCGTATCCCCTCTCTGCTCTCTGCCTGCAGGGCAGGAGGTGGCAGTGAGCAGCTGGGTCCCTGGACTGGAGGTGCCAGGCAGAGGGTGCGCCCAGCATGCAGTGTCAGGGTGAGCAGGAAAGGAACACACTGCTCAGCAGCACTTGCTCAGATGCTCTGGGCTGGACCTTGCAGTGCTGGAGGCCATTGGGCCTCTGTGGCATCTCTGGAGCACCACAGAAGAAAGATCAAGTCCTCCCAGAGTGCTTTTGCTGAAATGCTCCAGAGCAAGCACCAGATAGTGCGAACGTCAGTGCTCACTGGCACAGCCTTACTCTGGAACTAGATAGTCATGTAAAATAGGATAAAAAAAGATCTGAAGTGCCACTTACCGACCAAAGAAAATGCCTAGTCACCTGGAGCATCCTCCCTCCTGCGCCTGCTCTAATTGCTCAACATAAGCAGCCCTGGGCGGCCAGGCTGAGCCTTGGCACTCCGGTTCCTTCTCGGCACTGCAGCTCCTTCTCATACACTGGCAGTTGAGAGGAGAGCTGCTCCCTGCTGCCAAGATTATAGGCAAACTTCACACAGTTTGAGCAACCTGATAACATCTGGAGACACGAGCTCTCCATTGCTGAGACACCAGTCAAGCCTTTGGGTGGAGAGGGCCTGGAGTCAAAGCAAATCCTTGGCTGTTCAGGTTTCTGCTGGCGACCCATCACAGCTTGGTGCTACCACTTCTGGATCGTTCCTGTAAGACACACCTTTTTCTTTAAGTTAAGTACTATTGGCACTGCTAGCATAATTTCTGAGGAACCTGATTACCTAGGCTCCAGGGAGATATAAAACGATCTGTTCAGCCTGTATAGTGGTTAGCTTAATCTTGTGTATAATTCTAGCAGAGCAAATGAGTAGTCAAGATTGAAATCTCTGCCGGAGCTAGCAAGGACTTGGCATTTCCATGCAAAGAAAACTTAAAGCCAGGTTTCACTTGCAAGCTACGGAAGGCTGCTAGGTGCCATAGTCTGTCTGCCCTACTCAAAAAGAAGAGTTGTTTTTGAATGTTAACTGCTTTTTTTAGTATCACATTGCTTTTATTTCAATTATTCCTCTTCCTGGCACACCCACCAAAGCCATTTTGCTGCTGCTAATATGCCTAATATCCAATCAGTGAAATAATGACATGTTGTGCTCGTGCTAAGAGTTGCTGCTTAATAGTGATTGAAGTGCCTTATCTTCTCAAGTATCAAATTGTTAAATTACAGCACAAACGGGAGATATTCCGATTGAATGTGCCTTTTCCAGCTCTCGGCAGCAACAGCTGTTCTCAATAGGTTCTGAAAGTACTGTAAAAACAGTATTTCAACAAGTAATGTTTGTCAAATGAAAGCATGGCAGCTCTGGGAATTAACAAAATAATGTAATCTGAAATAAGAAGCCATGGAAAACCAGAACAGAAGAAGCAGAGTTTGTATTCCCAACACCCCTCAACAAAGCTGGCTGCTCTGAAGTGGTTTCCCTGCAGGAAAGTAAATGATTTTAATGGACTCTGTTTAATTTAGAAAGACAGTGTTGGGAAAACAATTGTTCCCAAAAGAAAGAGAGCTGCCCATGTTCCTGTTGGT